TTTGACCGCAGACATCAGTTCACGTCAGTATTTTGAAAATAGTTGTGCAAAACTAGCCAGATTCGTCCATGTCATTCTACTGCCTACCACCTTCATTCATATGGGCAGAAATAACAAATGAACAAGTTTCTTGATGACTTTTTGCGGTGTTACACTTTAGTGGACCATTATAATTGGGCTTCTCATCTTCCCTTTTCCCAGTTTAGTTATAACAACGCCCAACTTGATTCAATTTTCTGTTCTCCATTCTTTGCTAACTATGGGTCTAACGCCTCTTTTAACATGGAACCCAGTGGTGGGTACAAGTTGGAAGTCATGGTCAACTTCGCCAAGTCTATCAAGAAGGTGCAAAAAAGGGTCAACATCAATTTGGATGCTGCTATAAAGATTTAAAGGGAAAATACCAATGATAAGATATGGGTGGGTATAGCATACAAGGAGGGATATCTAGTGATACTTGATGCCAGAAATATTTCAATCAAGCAGCCATGCAAAAAAAACTGGGACTGAAGAGTATAGTATTTTACCACGTTGTCAGAAAGGTGGGCCATGCTTGTACTAATTGCATCTTCCCCCCTCATTCCAGATTTTTGCCATCTTTCATGAAATCAAGCTGACTATGTTTGAGGGCCCCCCATCAGAGACTCCATAGGCTTATCTAGTTGATGGGACACCAGAGTGGGAAGTGGAGAAGATTATAGCCTTCTGCTGAGTAAAAAGAAGATTATAATACCTTATATTCTGGAAGGGATTTGATTTAGCAGAGAACAGTTGGGTGCCAGCGCGTGACTATGCCAATGCCCAACATCTAATCAAAGCTTTCCATGAGCATTTCCCTGAGGCTGCAGGGCCCAAGTCAAGGCAGACCATTGCCGCCATGAATCTGGCTTCTGCCCACAAGAACTTTTCCTGGCGAAATCCCCTGGATGAGGGGTGGAGCCTCAAAAGAATGAGAGGGTAATGTCATGGCTTAATGGCATGATTGAGGGAACAAATTGTAAGGACAAGGCTGGTCGTCAGGAGGCCAAAAAGGTCAAGTTACAAGACTTTCTTAAATTAAAACATACCCTAGACCAACTCTGGGTACAGGAGAGATATGCCCAGGTTGGTCCTGGGGATGTGCATGATGCTCAGCCAGGCATTACAGCCAAGGTGTTAAAATGCACCAGCTATGTTTTCAACACTACAGTTCAATTCAATTACTTGAGGAACAGTGATTTGAAACCCATTTCATATATAATATTGCTGAGTTGGGATGAGTCAATTTGCAATCTACAAATTGATTTTGTACAATCTCAAGTTACAGGACCTTGGATTATGGCAGCATGCGCCTATTGCTTTACCTAGGCTTAGCATCACTTCCGCCAATTGAAAGATCTCTCCCCAGTGTTTAATTATGTTTCTGTAAGACCAACTTTCCTCATTAGTCATCTGGTTTATTAAGACCCCTGTTTGTTTTAGTATATTAAGTGCATTTATTTGTTTCTGTTTTCCAATCTCCAAGAGGTCCTAATTAACCAAATGTGTGCTATCCTTGCTTGGGACATTATGTGCACCATCCTTTTGGGTAATGTGTAGTTTATCTTTTATTCAGTGAAGAGTTAATTACAAGGGGGTGGGCCCTCGCCCCCTCTGCTATTGGAACTGGAGCGTTACAGACATGCTCCTGACACATAACCTCAATGGGTATTGGGCCCAATAAGGGGTTGGTCAATTAAGGGAACTTATTTTTGTCAGGAAACGTTGCCAAAAAATTTCTCTAGTAGCATTGATACTGAATCTCACCAATTTTCTTTTTTAACTTGGGGTGATCATTTCCATTCATGGGAGAAAACTGTTGGGGGTTGGCCCCATAGTTGGTAGGTCTTCCTCCATCCCTGGAGAGGGTGAGTGCTCAGTATTGGGGGTACTGGGCTGAGAAAGGACTTTTGGTGGTATTGCCCACTAGTACTTTTGATTTGACATGAGTTTCCCCGTTTGTGGGACCTCCAGTCTCCACAAAGCAGTGGCTGTAGGTGCCCCTTAGATTTGAACCGCATTTGGAGGGGTTTGTGTCCCCATTCTACTAGTTATTTCTAATTTTGTCAAGTTGATTGTGGCGTTTGTGGCTAAGTTTCATTGTTGTACTTGGGTCTCATCACTAAAATTTTTTTTAAAAGTATTTTAGGCTTACTTGGGCCTCATTGTTGACATTTATATTAGTATTAGTGGATTCATCCCCAATGGATGGGTTGCTCATTTTGCAAGATTTTTTGTTTTTTACTAAAAAAGAAGTTACTGTGGGCTGTCAGCTCTATAAGCTAAGATCTGCCAGGCAGGGTTCCCTTTTGTAACTGTAGCTGTTGAAAGTCAGGTGTACTTCTCTAATTAGGACAGTAGATGCAAACTAAAAATGTGCTTTTGCTAACCTATATCAGGTCACTTTTTCTAAAAGTGATACTAATGCACAAAAGAAGTGTTAGTACTGTAAGGATTATAAGGATTGTAAAACTGGTCCTGTATCTGAGCAGTAGTTTAGTATGTATATTTAAAATGGACTGGAAACATTGGATTTCAATTGTGGGACTAATACATTGCTGATAAACTTCATTATGACATTAGGAAAGTGATAGATTTGAATAATTTTTGACTTGATATATGTCTATGGTTGAGGGTATATTCAAAATACAGGCAAGTATGAGATCATAGCACATTAATCTTAAATAATTATAGATGCCTATCATTTTTACATAATTTGACCATAATATCAACTAAAGTTGATGAAATGAATATTGTAGATGGCAATCAGTAATTTAGCATAGAGTGACAAATAAGATTAACTTAATTTAGTAAAATAAATTATTAGTAGATTATATAAAATACTGTATATAATTTATTCATAATTTTTTATTTTTATAGAAAAATGAGGGTTCAAAAATAATATATGGAGATAATGATTTTTTAAAATAAAATTTAGAAAAAAGAACTAATTTTATAAATGCACTAAATTTTTAGGAAAGAATAACTAGGGTTTAAAAATTAGTAAATAAAATTCCCCTTCATAAAAACTGGAAAGAACAAAAAACTCTTTTAAAAAAAGCTAAAAAGTGTGACCTAAAATGAAAAATTATAAATACATATTAAAACTTTTTGAAGTCAGCGCCATATTTTAAGCTGCCTTATACTACATACTTATAATATATATTATTTAGCAATGTATATTTAAAGTTGTTTATAGTTTACACTCAGACCCAAATTCAATTTAAGCTTTAATTTTGTATTTGTGATCAAAATTCTATAATTCAGTTTGGAATATGGTGCCAACTTCTTAAAGGGTTTTATTGAGTATTCATAATTTCTCAATTAAATTATACTTTTTAGAGCTTTTTAAAAGATGTTCTTTTTCCCCAAAAAAAATTGTAAGGATTAGTCCAGTATCTGATCATTATTTTTAGTATGTATTTTAAAATGGATTGGAAGTGATGGATTTTTAATTGTGGTAATAGTTCATCTCTGAATAAACTTAATCCAGGCATTGGCAAAGTGATAGCTCTTTATTAACTTTTATTAAAATGTATTGGAAGCAATGGTGGTTAATTGTGAGCCTATTTATTGCTGGATAAACATAATTCTGGCATAGTAAACTGATAGCTTCAAATTTAACCTTTTATTCAATATATATCCTTTGGCTAAGGGGGTTTGTTCAAATACAGGCAAGTATAAGATAGTAGAATGACAAACTTAAATCATTATAGATGCTTATCACTTTTGTATAATTTGACCAACAAAATCAGTTAAATTAAAAAAAATAAGTTTTATTGTAGATATGATCAGTAAATTTAGAATAAAGTAACTAATAAAATTAAACAAATTTAATAAAATGAATTATCGTAGATGATAATCAGTAAATTTAGCATAGATTGACCAATTAAAGTAACAAAATTTAATTAAAATGAGATATTAGTACTTTTGTCTATGTGGTACTATATATAATAAATATACAATGATTTATATTTCTATATTTGAATTAGTGAGGTTTCAAAAATAATATATAGAGATAATGATTTTTGAGCTAAAATTGGGAAAAAGCACTTTTAAAAATGCACTAATTTTTTGTAAAAAAAGAACTGCCTTTAAATAATGCTTTTGGAAAAAAGAACTTCCTTAAAACTTTTAGGATGAAAAAGAACTATCTTCAAAAAAGGCACTAAAAAGTATGAAATAATTGAGAGATTATGGATACACAATAAATCCTTTTTTGAAGTTGAAGCCATCTTCCAAATTGACTAATAAAATTTTGCTCATAATACAAATTAGAGCTTATAATGGATTAGGCAAAATGTAAATTATAAGCAACTTAGAATATACAGTGCTGAGTATATATATATATTATAAATGGCTATTATAAGTCAATTTAAAATATGGCACTGACTTCAAAAAGAGTTTTATTGAGTATTCATAATTACTTGATTATTTCATACTTTTAGTGCTATTTTAAAAGAGGTCCTTTTTCACATTTTTTAAAGATTTTCATATGCACTTGATATTCTGACACCCAAGCTGCATATACATACCAAATTTCATAAATGTACGTTTGTTGTTTTTTATCATACTTTTTTGAATACTTTCTTAAAAATGAATCATTTTATAATAATTAATTTAATAAGGTAAATATAAACTGCTGTTTGCATATTTAAAATAAATAAAAATCCTAAAGATAAACAGTTTCTTAATTGAACTATAAATTTTAAAGAACCTCCATGCCAAATTTCAAATTCCTAGCTTTTGTAGTTTAAGAGAAACCATGATTAATAATGCCATATATATATGAAGGTTTATACATAGAGATGGAAAGTTTACAACTACATTAAGCTATAATATAAGGTAAATGAAGATATTATATGTATAATAGAACACCCTATAATTCTGAAGTTGTGCATACGAAAAATAATACGAAAATTATATGGCCAAGACTAATTTTGATGTTTAATTTAAAGATTATTAAAGCGTAAACAAATAATGGGGAACTAGCTCAAAATGGTAGAGCGCGCGCTTCGCATGCGTGAGGCACCGGGAATGATGCCCGTGTTCTCCATTTTTACCTTATATGTTAAGACTATTATATGAGTTTAGCTGTAAAACCGTAAAACCCTTCTGCACCCAGCTTGCGAGCATTTTTATTGATATTGATTTAGTTTATGGTTAATACTAGTTTGTTAATTCAATGAGTTCAATTTTTTGCTACGCGTTTTGGTGGTTATTTAACATGTTCGTCACCATGTCACCTAAATATAGGTGACAAAAATGTTTCCATGGGGGCACCATCACCCATATTTGGGTGATGAGGCAATGAATGTGTTAACAACCAATTTTTAGGTTTAGCATTGCTAATAGCAATTTCAAATGTGATATCAGTAAGAAAATTAAAGCAGTAAAAAAATCTCCTTAAACCACCATTGGAGCTCGGAAGTGGTACATAAGAAAAAGGTGTGCAAAACTAAATTTCTAGCTGCATGAGTAAAGGATGATCCTAGCTGCGTGGGTAGGGTATAAAATAAACATATTATAAATATCCATAGCAGTCTATACTTTTTATTAGTTTATGTGTATTATAAAATATTAAAATATATTAAAGTGTATTATGATATTTGTTAAACAGTCCAAACACATTTGTGGTGCTTTTGGACAATCAGAAAATATTTTATATTTTTTATATTTTTCTCAATTCCTAGCATTTAATAATTTGTTGATAGTCACATTTGGGCCCATGAGAATCTCAACTGAATCATACTGGGTGACAAGCATGTTATAGTAATTTAATAAGTTCAATGGTTTTGCCAATCAGTTAGCGTTGATAAGTATCATTTGTTTATTTAATTGTTATTATGGTAATAAATTTTGGTCTCCTATACCAATGGCTAATATACTACCTACTATGTTATCTTATATCTATGATTTGTCATAGTTAAATGATATTATTGTGGGACATATTGTTTAAATAAGGCTGAGAAGGATATTGCAAAGGGGACCAAATGGGTGGGACTGCCTGAACTAAAACACACTGGACCAACGCTGGGTACAGGCAAGATATGTCCAAGTCAGTTTTGGGGGTATGCGTGATGCCAGATGAGCATTATATCCACTGCTTTAATTTGCACCTTCTATATTTAAATTATGATAGGTCATTATATTCAATTGAAAAATGGGGCTTTGAGTCCTATTTAATTAATAGCATTGCTAAATCCAGTAAAATTTAACTACAGTTAATAACACAAGTGTGAGTTTACTTGAGCTATAGTACAACAATGGATGGGAAGTTGTGTTTATTATTTATATTGGATGCAGTGCAGCCCAATGGAAAATTATTTCCCCAATTATTTAAAGGTGGTTTTGCAAGGTCAATCCTCTTCATTGGTCAAATTGTTTTAACAATAACCTGTTCTTTTCCAATTATCAGATGACCTCTTGGTTTGCCCTTTTTTCAGACCTCCTTAAAGAAGTAACAACTAATATATGTCATTTTATTTTATATAAACTATCAATTGAATCTCTTTACCCTCAGGAATTCCTGGACCCCTCCAGATAGAGGCACTGAAGAACTTGGATTCAGATCTGCATTTGGTAATAGACTCCTCCCTGAAGTTCAAACTAAGTCCTCACATTTCTAGTTTATCTCACAATTTATACAATTATTTATACCCTCAATTTAACCCATTTGGTAATGGCACACTTTATGGTGACCTTTTCCTGGTATTATTAACAGGTTGTTCCCTAATGGTGTGGATATGCATTCTCCACCACCTCTCAAGGAACATGAGAGTTACAGAAACTCTCTTGACATGATTATATCAGTTGTATAATCCTGCTCAGAAAATCTAATTGCAGATTTTTTGAAATCTATTTTTAATCAAAAAACTAAGTATAAGTTTTTATATTCAACCAGTTATCTGGTTTGACTATTGCATAAGTCCCAAATAACCAATTAGAAGTATAGGATTAGCCTATATCAGATAGACTGAATTTATCAGATCAAATCTTAAATTATTCCAAAATTATTAGGGTAATGTAATTAGATATATTCTCTATATATTTGACCAATTTGTTGCATTATATCTAATCATCTGAGAACCAGAGAATCTTTGTAAACCTGTTTAGTATCAGAGAATCTATTAGTGTGTGCACTTTAATTTTCACTCAAGTATTTCTGATTGGCTGCTACATAAGCTTGGGAATTAAAAAATTTAATAGACTCTAAATGCTTTGTAAGATTCAAAATGTTATAGATATAACTACATTTTAGCTATATTTTATATTAATAGATGGTTATCAATAAGTTTAGGAAGCTGTCATGTCCCATGGTATGATTGTAGGTATTAGTTGCAAAAAAAGCAGATCTCTATAAGGTCAAAGGGGTTATTTTGTCTTCCCTTTCTGACTTAAAGTATACCCTAGACCAACTTTGGGTGAGGGATAAGTATGCCCAGGTTGGTTCTAAGGTTATACAAGCTGGTTTTAAAATTCATTATTCTCATTGAAGGTCAGGATCTTTAGAGACTACTTGATTATTGGTCAAATGTAGCTCCAACAGAAATTTCTTAAGGATGCTTCTTCCTTAAGACAATTATTAGAAGTAAATTTGTTGAAGAGCAATTCCAGTTACTTTTCACAATCAGGATCTATGTATAAAACAGGCAAAGTCACTAGTAATTATAACTAGGCAAAACTGAAGTTATCTTTATTGATCAGATATTGGAGATATATATAGGTTTATGCAAGAATTAAGATTGCTTAAGGGTAGGCTTTGCAAGAAAATTGGGTTCAAGTCAGGTATGGAAATCTCTTACTTGGCGCAGAATAATACAAAAGTTTTTGGCATACTTAGTCCTTCTTGATTGTGGCAACAGTTTCCAGTGACCTCCAAAAAGCAAGATCTTTGTTAAGTGAATCAGCGCCTTTGTCAGGTAAATCAGTGGATTCAGAAAGTGTTTGAGATTTTGGTCTCTCTTTTAGAAGCTCCATACTCTTATTGATTTTGACATTTTTTAAAAACAGTGAATTTCCATAGGCATGTTGTGAATTAGGTCAAGTTCAAATTTCACCCATATCAGCATAACTCCCAGTATTCTCAAAAGCTGGACTGGCCAGCTCATCTACAGCCTTAAGTTTGTTGAGTTATTTAATTAATAGGATGGGTCAATATATTTTAATGGGAAACATGGATTCAAGTCCTATTTGATTTACCATATAGCCCAATCAGGCAAAATACAACTTCAGTTAATCACTCAAGTTGGGCCTACTCAAGTTACAGCTCTACTGCTGACAGTAAGTTGATATTATTGGCTTGTTTTGGATCAGTACTGAAGTGAGTTGATCATGACCCTCTTTATAATTCCTTAATATCTCTTATTGAGACCAAGCATTTTGTCAGTCACCTTGTTTATTTAAACCCTATTTGATCTTATCAGATGAATCCTTGGTTTGACCTCATCACTGACCTCCATGAGAAGTCTCTAAAAATATAAGTCACTTTACACTTTCTAAATTAAATATACCTTATTTTGCTGATGGTGGAACCTAGATCTCCAGATTAAAGTTCCAAAGAGTCTAGACTTTGAGCTGCATTTGGTGATGGACTCCTCCTTGGCGCTTAACCAAGTCCTTTCCTTTTAATCTATCTGGAAATTTATAATTTTTTATACCCTCTCCTTGGGTCATCTTGGGACTGGCACACTTCACGGTGCTCATTTCCTTTGCTGTTGATGGTTTATTCCATGGTTGTGTGGGTGTGCTTTCCACACCGCCTCTTTAGGAATGGGAAAGTTAAAAACAAACTCATAATATTAGTTGACCAACCTTTTTACTATACATTCTTTAATGTTTTTTGAGTAGGGCTCTCAATGAGTATCAATTGGGTGCATTGACCGTTTGTCACAGTCTCTATGCTGCTTACCACTGCGTTTTCATTTAGTTTACATTTAGTAAGGCTTGGCGTTATTCTCACTAAAGCTAACTGTGAGGTCCCTACCCTCCCTGCTTGTACCTGATAGTTTTAGACCTTTGGGATTATGTTGTTATCATTATGAGAACTACCCATAAGTATTTTCTGAAATACAGAAGGTTAGCTTCCATTGCTTTGAATGCTTCTATAAATACAAATTTAATATGTCTTTAATATGCCCTCTCACAAAGATAACTTGATGTGGCAACTTCTCTCTGTGCATCCAAATAGGTATATACAATGCTATAAACTCAGATTCATTTATAAAAAAGTATGTAAAAGCTTTGGAACGCCTTCTGAAAGCACGCCATCCTGACTTGTCTTCCTTCCAAACCTTATACAAGTTCTTTGCTCTTTGTCAGGCAGGGCGCCCTTTAGTGTCCTATATATGAATTCTGCAATTGGCCAGGCCCTACCTCTATCCAATGTAGTAAAAATACCAATTATTCATTCAACTTTGGATAATCTCACTATGAACGCTCTAATGTGGTGGGCTCTACCTGCCAAATTTAATCATGTGATTGAAGCTTTTCTTGGTAATTTCCCAACCCCAACCAAAAGAGGAACATGTAGTTTAGCTGTAATTGTTTCACCCGTGGAGATTTCTATAAATACACTCTTAAAGATTTAAACCCTCTTTTAAAAATGGAATATTTTTTTGCTTTCATACTTCAAGTTTTGAAGAAGCTTAAGGTCAGCTGTGTACCAGACTGGTTCTTTCCACTAGTGGACAAAAGCGTTGGATAACACCAACCAGATAATAGTCCACAACCCCAAAAAGCACCCCAGAGAAGGCTCTGTATATCTGCATACCCTTATGGTGGGGTTGAAACCTTAAAGTAGAGTTAATAGAATAGTTAACCCTAAAAGAGCTCATTGACCTCAGTAGAGAGCAAGGAGGGATTCCACAGGTGATTAAGTTCAATTTCTTGGTTAAGAGAGATGGTGTTCCCCATAGTGTGTTTTGTCAAAGTAAACATCATTTAAAAAGGGCTTCTTAATATAATTTTAATAAGCAAAAACTGCAGAAATACTTAAAATTGAGAGATGAAATCTACCTAATTTTATCTATAATAGCTATAAAATATTCTCCAGAC